GCTCATTTTACACGTCCAGGGGTCACAGGCTGTGATGCGAGTCACTCCCTCCCGTGTCACCAGGCCCCACCCCCAGCTGAGCAGGGGCTGAGGCTCAGGAAGTTGGGGTTCAGCCCAGTTCTCACCCGGGTTCCCCGAGCCACCCTGTGGAAGGAAGGTTGCCTTGTGTGCTTTCAACGTCCCCTACGTCCGGTGGGGGAACCGACTGAGATGGGGGACAGGGGACAGACTTTAGGTAAGGGGTGGAGTGGGCAGGGGGCACCCATGGGATCCTCTAGAATCCGGGGAGGGTCTTTCTGTCCAGATTACCTCCCAACAGCCCGGCGACGAGCACCCTGGTGACGAGGAGGGGCTGGCCTTTTGTTTTTATTGTGGTAAAATGACAGAACAGAGGATGTGCTATGGGAGCCACTTCTCAGGGTCCAGCTCGTGTGGGCAGCGAGCACGTCCCCGCGGCTCTGCGCCCATCGCCCCCATCATCTCCGGAGCACCTCCAACTTCCCAAACGGAGACCCCGGCGCTAGATTCTGGAAAAGCCTCTCACGCAGCAGGTTCTCCTTGGAAACCCAGATGGCTTGTTGAGGGGAAGGAAGGTGTGAGGGGTCTGAAGGGACCCCTCTGGTGAGGCAAAGGCAGAGACAGGAAGCCTCCAGCGGGGACTGCGGTGAGCCAGGGGACAGCTGGGTCACCTGCGGGGGGCCGGGGGCGGACAGAACAATCCCGGGGCAGGAACACCTGTGGCTTCAAAGGAAAAGTTTCTCCTGGGGCCTGACTGTTCTGGACCGGGGTTCCTGGTTGGCAGGGGGCCGCAGGCTGGGGCCGGAGGGACAGGATGGCTCTGAGCAAGTCCCGGCTTCCCAAACCACAGAGCGGGGACAGAAGTATGTGAAGCATGTATGACTCTCCTCAGAAGGCACCGGCCTTCGGTCTACGGATCCCCTGGACGGACTTCAGACAGATTGCAAGCCTGCCCGCAAGCCCTTTGGTGGGAATCATTCCAGAAAGCAGATTTGCTGACAGATTAGGGGGCGGGGCGGGGGGCTGGGGTGAGGGCAGTTCACCCATGAGCACAAGCGTTAAGTCGCCAGTTGTGGAGGTGCCGCTCTTGCTAGTCCTCCGTGCAGGGGAAGTGGGTGGGGCAGGGGTGGGGGTTGGGGGGCAAGTTCAGGAGAAACCTCTAGAAGCCCGGAAGGCTGGGCTCCCTGCGGCTGCTGGAAAACTGGGCTGGAGCTCCTCATCCCGTGGGAGGGCTTTCTTCCTACAAGAACTCATGTAATCCCCAGGAGGGGGTGCTGTTGTTACCTCCACCGCACATGAGGGGAAACTGAGGCATGGAGCAGTGACCTGTCCGAGGTCACATCATAGGGAGTCCTAGAGAGAGAATCAGGGTGGGGTCCAGTCAGACCCAGCGCTGGCCCTTAATGCTCCCGTGCGATGAGGCTTTTTGTCCAGGCTCCCCCACATCCTGGTGACCTTGAGCGTGTGCGTCGCTTCCTGCCAATGACCCGTGTTCATACAGCACCTTCTTGCCTGGTTTTTACACTTGTATACAGTTGGAACAACAGATGGCTCTGCCCTTGTTTCTCAGAGCAGGAAACTGAGGCCCAAAGCCATTTGGTTTGTGTTGTGGGCTGAAACGTATGCCCCCCAATTTAAATTTAAAAAAAATTTGTAATGTTTATTTATTTTTGAGAGAGAGAGAGAGACACACACACACACAGAGACACAGAATCCGAAGGAGGCTCCAGGCTCTGAGCTGTCAGCACAGAGTCCGGACACGGGGTTCGAACACACGAACCGCGGGATCATGACCTGAGCTGAAGTCAGACGCTCAACTGACTGAGCCATGCAGATGCCCCTGAAAGCCCCCCAGATTTATATGTTGGGAGTCTTAACCCTCAGGACCTCAGAATGTGACTGTATTTGGAGACAAGACCTTTAAAGGCGGAACTAAGTTAAAATGAGGTAGTTCGGGGGGACCCTGATCCCAAACCGCTGGCATAGGAGGGATCAGGACATAGACACGCACAGAGTGAAAACACTGTGAAGACACAGCGAGAAGACTGCTATCTGCAAGCCGCGGAGAGAGGCCTCAGGAGAAACCAGTTCTACCCGCGCCTTGGCCTTGGACTTCTGGCTTTCGGAGCTGTGAGAAAACGAACGTCTGCTGTCTAAGCCCCCGGTCCTGGTGTTCGTTACATCAGCCCGAGCTGCCTCTACTCTTTTGCTCCCAGTTCACACTGTGAGTGCGTGAGTGGGGGCGCCGGGTCCTGCTCCCCCGACATGCACCGCCCCAGCGTGAGGATCCTCCGCTCCCCTTCCTCCCCGGTCCGAGGGAGTGTGAATGAGGTGGTGCAGCTTTGAGCCTGGGATTGGTACAGGGTGGGGTGACGCTTACTCTAAGTGTTGTAAAATGCACCTCTATCTGCGAAGGAGCGGAGCAATGTACAAGGCCGGTTGGCAGCAGAGGTCAGCCAGACCTGGGTCTGCATCCTGAGTGCGTATGACCTTGGGCAAGCTGTTTACACTCTGTTTGCGGGTGTTGCGGTGGCGATAATAAGAATATTACGGCCTTGGGGTTATCGTACATAATAAGCAACATCATAGATTCCATTACTACAGAGCCTGGCATCAAGTCAGTGCTTAATAAACGCCCAATGGTCATCATCACGTCCGTAGGTAAAGGTGTGTGGGACTCTAGAAGCTTGGGGTCCAGTTGGAAGTGCTGACCGTCCCGTCCCAGATCCGAGGAGAGCACTGAGGGGCCAGCCAAGCAGGGCCGGGGTCCTAGCCGCGGGCAGGGCCCCCCCAAGCGGAGACAAGCATGGCTGACTCCGCACGGAAAGTTCCGCCTCCCTGAACACACTGGCAGAGAAATGAAAAACAAGATCATGACTTCATACGAGTCTCCTCCCCACTCGGACACAGTGACGGTGTATTTACATGTGGATTCGTTCCGGGCTTAGAGCTTTGAACTCGTTTGCCGTCAGTCTGTGATGGTTTCTTCAAGTTCACGATCTGAGCCCTGTCGTGGAGGGAGGGTCTGGATGGAGAGGGTCTGCACCTGGCCGGCCTCAGTCCCACACGGCCAGGGGCTTCCTGGGCTCCGCTATCTGGGCTGCAGGTGAAAGAAGGCAGTCTGGGGCGTTCGGGGTGCAGGGCACACCCCCTTTGTGGACCCCACCTGCAAATGGCAGGATAGCAGCCCCCTCCCCACCCTGGCGGGGGGTGGATGGCCGCCCAGTGGTGTAACTTCTCTGCTTAGAGGGGTCCCCCCGGCAGACTCACAGGGGCCCTATGCCTTTGCCAGTCAGATCCTGGCAGGTGCGCTGGGTGAACTGTGGGAGCCCCCGGTGACTCACCTTTTCCACTTCTCCCTCAGAGGGGGACATGGGGTGCGGGGGCAGAACCCAGGAAATGGGATGACGGCACCCTCACAGCCCCCTAGGACAGCCGGCCCCTTTTCGGCCACCCGGGAGATTTGTGGTGTTCCTCCCGGGACCCTGTTTCCCTCCCTCCTCCCCCCCACAGCCTGTTCACAGTCCAAGTCTGGTTTACGCATTAATTCCAGGGTTCAAGTACTTTCCCACAGGGGTCCTGCGGGAGCGGCCAGCCTGAAGGGGTCCTTCACAGTTGCGACCCCTTCCACCTACTCGGAAAAGCACAAGCAAGATGCGTGGCGAGGAAGGGGTGGGAGCCTGTGTGGCCAGTTGTGGGGCAAGGGGGGGGGCGCAGGGGACCCCGGGATCCCAGAGTGTAGGGGACTGTAAAGCTGGACCACGAGCTTGAGCCAATGGTCAGAGCTCTCGGGAGCAGCGCGTGTGGCCACAGTCCCTGGTCCTTCTTCCGGCCAGGCGCCTCGGTCAGGGAGCGGTGGGGAACACACATCCTTGGCTTCCTCCTCTCCACGAAACCCGGTCCAAGTGTCCGGTGCCCTTGTGTCCCTGGGAGTCCAGCCCACAGGGGCAGCCATCAGCCAAAGCTTCTCCATCTCCAGAGTATCTCCGTGTCCATCTGAACAGCCAGGGTCAGTCCAGGCTGCTCCGTGGTTCCGGATGCTGGTAGAGAGCTCCCAGCAGGGGCCACTTCTAGTGTCCGGCAGCTTCCTGTCCTCCCTCAAGGGGGGAAGGGGGGGAGGCTGGACGCCGAAGTGTGGGTGGGGGGTGTCTGGAGCAAGGACCCTCGTATTCCCAGAAACCCCACTACCTTCAGGGCAGGCTCCTCCCTCCCTCGCCCCTGGCCAAGTGCTCCTCTCCACCGAACCCGCCCCCTGCAGGGTAGACCCAGGGTCGTGGAGAGGGCTCAGGCCACAAACAAGGTCGGTGGATTCACCCAAGGGGGTGGAGGGAGCCTGGACCCTGTGTCTGCCCAGCCCCGTGAGCAGGCTGGGGGGCGGGAGTGATGCTCTACGCGGCCTTCAGCCACGCCGGCTCCTTCCAAGTCTCCTCCTCCATTCCCTCCCGGGGTTCGCGTATTCCTGCATCTTCCAAGTCCCCGTTGCAGGAGAAAACGGGCAATGTGTCCCTGGGGTCCAGCCCATCTTTTCAGAGGGGCCGTTCCTGTAAACCCCAAGGCCGAGAGCAGCCAGAGACGCAGATTCCTGAACCCTGGGTCAGGCTTTTGGCCGCAGAGCGGACCACGTGGCCTGGCGGCCCCGGGGTTGCTGAGTCAGGAGAGGCGCGGGCGGGGGGAGCGGCCGCCCCCCCACTTCTCTCCCACTCTCCCCTGACAGGCGCCCTGGGCCTGTGGCGGCTCCACACGCCCTGCTGTGGGACTGGAGGCTGTCCTTCCAGTTCCGGGCCCATGCTTCTCCCTTCTCCCGCGTCAGATGAAAGGGTTCGGCTCCGTGGCCCCCAGACCCTTCCAGCCCCCTCCCCCGCCCTCAGCTCCCCGGCCTGCCCTCCGCCAGCCTCCAGCCCGGGCCCTGGGTGCCCCCCGGGCTGCCCCCCGGGTCGGGGAGGGACAGGGAAATCACTGAATCACTGAGGCCAGCCCAGCGCTCCGTTTCCATGATCTTTATTGCTCAGGGTCTGAGCCCAGGGTGGGGCCGGAGGGGCTGCCGCTAGAAGAAGTTGACCACCCTGCGGACCGACTGGACGCGAGAGCTGTGGGCTTCCCAGTCCGAGTAGTTGCGGAAGTCACCCCGCTCCACCAGGTACATGCGGCCGTGGTAGTTGGGCTCCTCGTAGAGGACCCACCTGTGGCCGGGGGAGGGGGGGGAAGGGGAGGAGGCCAGGTGACCACGAGCCGCTGAGCGGCACAGGGTGCGACCTCCTCCCTCCCGCCCACCCACCACCCCACTCCCCTCCTGGCCAGTGTGGGGCCTGAGCTGAGGGGGAGAGGTGTGGGGGAGGGCTCCCTTACCCTCTGCTCTTCCACCGCAGGGAGCAGAGCGGGGCTACACACCCCGATCGGTCGCTGGGGTCCTTCCGGCCCAGGCCATGGGGTGCTCCGACTCTGTCTTTGCAGTGAAGCCCCACTGCGGCCCGCGGCCCCCCAAAGCACTCCGCTGGTGAAGGAGACTCAGAACTTCTGAGCCCAGCCCGCCCAGAGAGGGAGTGACTGCCCTAGACCACACGCACCTCCCCCCCCAGTCATCTGCTGAGGGCAGCTTCCCCAGCTCCCCCCTCCCCTGCCACCGTGGACCCTCTACCCCATCCCGACTCCACATCTGGCACCTGGCGCCATGTGCACAAGGGTTAGGGGTCAGGAATGAGGAGAGAGCTGCCCAGGAGGGAGCTCAAGGTTCACCCTGAGCCTCCACACACCCCTAGCCTCACTGCCCCTCTCACTCGCCCCTACCCTCCTCATACCCATGGGTGGCTCAGGCCTGAGGTTTCAGGGCGCGTGTGCAGGAGTCCCCAAAAGGAAGAAGAGGAAGGGACAGGCCGAGCCTCTTCAGCAAACAGGCTTCCTGCTGTGACTTTGGGGACAGAGGCACCAAGAGAGAGGGAGGAGGGGGCGTGGCTCATCCACAGCAAGGACTGTGCTGGGGGGGGGGTGGCAGGAAGTAAGGAGAGTGACCTGGTGGCACATTTCCCTCCAAATGCCCCCCAGAACCCAGGTCTGTGGGGACAGGCGGGTCCTGAGCTGACTTGGGAGTGTCTGGGAGGGGGCAGGGAGACCTGCCTGGAGGCTCCGGATCAGACCCCAGGACAGAGCTTGAAGGAGGTCACCACCCCCAGACCAGGTGGTCCGGGCCAACACTCTTGCCAAGGACTTACTTTTTTTTTTTCCCCTTCAATAAAGTCACAGCAGCAAAGGGTGAGCCCTCCTTGGGGAGGGGACAGAGCCGTGGCCACACACGCAGCCTCTGAGTAAAGCAGGAGCTACAGGAGACCCTGTGCTCTGTGGTCAAAGCTCTTAGCTCCCGCCTTCCCCCCTTTTTCCTTAAGAGGCTCTTGGAGTCTCCCCAGGGTGGGGGTCGGGGGACTGTGGCCAGGGTCTCTGCACACCTTTCATGCTAAGGTATGACTCTGGCCTCACGGAACATAATTTAGCCAGTGGTTTTCTAGGCAAATTGTCCTTCTGGAATTTTACCCCCAGGTTCCCAGATGCCTCAACTGAGGGCAAAGGGGAGGTTTCGGAAAGGCAGAGAAAGGCAGACAGGAGGAAATGAATCCTGGACAGAACCAGAGGGACAGAGAAACAGCAGGAAGGGAGCCGGATGCCCCCCCTGGGACTCTGGGAAGGAAGAGAGAGACCCCTCAGCTCAGGGCCCAGCAGCCAGCATCAGGCTGCCAGGGGGGAAAGGCGAGGGCTCCAGCTCTTCCTCGGGCTCAGCCACTATCTGTCTTCATTCGGTCTCTCCCAGGACCACGCTCTTGAACCTTCCGTGAGGTTCCCCGATCCCGTACCTCGGGCGCACAGACGGCAACCGGCCCCCTCAATGGCTGTGATGGGAACCCGCGCCTGCAGAGCGGCCGGGGCTGAGGTCTCGGGCGGCTCTCTGCTCCAGCCCGGGGACCCTCTGACTTGACGCCCAACGCCTGGCTGCAAGGCCCGCTGTGGCGTTCACGAGCGGGGCTGGCTCACTTTCTGAGCCTCCGTAAGAGGTGACGCTACCCACTGGCTAGGCGGACCCGAGGTGGAAGACGGCCCCTGGGAGGTATGGCCAACGCGAGGGTGCACAGGGGCTTCTAACAGCGGCTGAGCACAAGGCCCACCACCATACGGGCCGCCCGTGGTGACTGTACAGGAGCCAGCAGAGGCCAGGCCAGCACGGGGCCCAGGCCAGCACGGGGCCCTGATGACCCTCTAGGGGCAGGGCAGACAAACAGGCAATAGTCCTACGGCCACAACGTGTCCACCGGAAGTGAGCCGCCATGAAGACCGGAAGTGAGCCGCCATGATGACCGGAAGTGAGCCGCCATGATATCCACCTCCCCGGGGGCCCCCATAGGAGAGCCCCAGTTCAGGGGTCCACTTTGCAGAGTAGGACCAGGGTGTGCAAGGTAAGCAGAGTTCCCCTGGCTCAAGGGGACCAAAGCACTGTCCACGAGCTCAGTTTAATCATAGATACCAGCTGGTCTGCAAAGGGCCGGCCTCCCTCCGCCCCCAAGGTGGAGACCTACCACTGGGGCCCCAAGTCTCCAGAGACGTGGAGGACGCCTCCGCACTGCTTGACGGGGGTAGAGGAGGTAGCCGAGGGGGTGCCGGGCCTAACCCGCTGCTGGGGTCTGAACCCACCCTGCAGCCTCCCCCAACCCCCCACATTTAGCTGTGTAGGGACCAGCCCGGCTGCCGTCGGCGGCCTTGCGGCCTCTACTTACGCGCCGTCTCCGTACACCTTGACGGCGTTGACACAGTTCTTGGCCCAGCCACGACTCTGCAGGAAGGGACAGTCGTCCTGAAACTCCAGGCACTGGCCGGTGAAGTTGCAGCCCTCGAAGATCTCCAGGCGGAAGTTCTCCCCATGCTGCGGGCCCATGGGAGCCGAGGAAGGAAACGAGGCAACAGGGCTGAGTCCCCCCAGCGGGCGCCCCTCCCACGACACACAAGCCCACAAGGCGGGGAGCTCAGAATCGGATTCTGCCTCCCTCTCTCTTTGTCCCTCCCCTACTCACTGACGGACTCTCTCTCTCTCTCACTCTCAAAAATAAACATTGGGGTGCCCGCCACCCCAGTGTAAGCGGCCCACCCAGGACTCTGCTTGTCTTGGGACATGAGATCGGGTTGGATGAAAGGCGCCTATCACTTTAAAAGGCTTCAGAGCCCCTGAACCGGGCCACTCTCCTCTTTCCTCAACTAAAGAATCCAGGGGTTGGAGAGGGCCAGACTGCCCTGGACACAGTGGCCGTGGGCCTGGGCCGCTGGCTTCCTTTCTGGTGCCTGGACTGGGGGGACTTCGGCCCCAGCCACACCAACGCCTTCCTCTGCCCTTCATCTCCACCCGGGGGCCTAAGGCCATGGGCAAGCCTTTCAACGATAATATTTTACAAACTGTAACCAAACCTTTTATTTAAACACGAAGCCAGAAATCTAAAACAAATAACAGTGCCCTCATTTGCTGAAATCCCCACTTACTCGCTGGGATGACACTATATAGCTCCCTATAAGATTCCTTGCATTTCCAGAAGGCAGAGGAGAGCTGGCTCCGGGGGCGCAGGGGCTGGGCCTGCCTCACAGCTGGCTCTGAGGGGAGCTCTTAGGAGAAAAGCACTCAAAAGATACCTCGGGGAGTTTTCATATAAACAGCGTTACGCAGGGGCGCCTGCGTGGCTCAGGCGGTTAAGCGTCTGGCTCTCAGTTTGGCTCAGGTCATGATCTCATGGTTTTGTGGGTTCGAGCCCCATGTTGGGCTCTGTGCTGACAGCTAGCTCCGAGCCTGGAGCCTTCTTCGGATTTTGTGTCTCCCTCTCTCTCTGACCCTCCTCCGCTCATGCTGTCTTTCTTTCTCTCGGAAATAAATAAAACATTAAAAAAATTAAAAATAAATAAATAAACTCAAAAAATGTAAAAAAATAGTGTTATGCAAGATCCAGGGCCACCCATGTTAATTCCTTTTTCCAAATGTCTCTGGCCTGGTGGAAATACAAAGGAAGCATAGGGCGCCTGGGGGGCCCTGTCGGTTAAGCGTTAAGTGTCAGACTTCGGCTCAGGTCATGATCTCATGGTTCATGGGTTTGAGCCCCGTGTCGGGCTCTATGTTGACAGCTCAGAGCCTGGCGCCTGCTTCGGATTCTGTGTCTCCCTCTCACTCTCTGCCCCTCCCCCATTCGCACTCCATCTCTCTCTCAAAAATAAATAAAACATTAAAAAAAGAATAAAAGGGAGAAGGGGGACCCCATACAGGAGGCCCCTTCCCTGGGGTTCCTGAGCTGTTCCCTTAGGACCACCTGAACCCCATGTCCAGGGACAGGACCTTCTACAGACACCTCACTGAGACTCTGATGACCCTCTGGTTCAGGAATCTGCCTTGTCCCACCCGACCATGAGGACCTCACATCAGGTCAGCTAGCACTTGTCACATGGGAGAATCCTATGGAACAGGAATGCCCGGTCCTCGGATCCCCCCGCAGGGGCAGCCAGACATGAACCGTCCATCACCGTGGGTAGGGACGCCCCTCCTCTGCTCTCCCTACATACACTAGGCCACGCTTTGAGATGACAGCCACTCGTGTGGCTCCCAGACGCCCACCCCCAAATTCCTGAGGACCAGCTGGTGATTCAGGCCTCCTCCTTCAGTCATTCCACGGTCAGAGCCTCGAAGTCTCCTGAAAAGCGCTACACGGTGACCCGTGCGAGTGGACACATCAGGCCCAAATCGGCCTCACTTTAGCTACATTCTCCCCCATCCAATTGCAAATCCAAACTTCTAATATTTCCAACAGCATTCTAAGTGGAAAAGTCAGCAAGATCTGGGGACCGGAAATTGAAGGTGGCCCCTGATACATGCCTGTAAATGTCAGGTATAAAAATTTCCATGGGAAGGGGCCCCTGGGTGGCTCAGTCGGTGAAGCGACCAACCGACTCTTGATTTGGGTTCAGGCTATGATCTCATGGTTCGTGAGATCGAGCCCTCCGTCAGGCTCTGTGCTGGGCCTGGAGTCAGCTTGGGATCCTCTCTCCCTCTCCCTCTGCCCCTCCCCCGCTCTCTTAGACATAGAAAGAGAACTTCCAGAGGTGGCCCTGGCTCTTTCCTGTTCATTCCCACGCCATCCCACACATGGGGGAGTGCCGGGTCTGTATGGGGGCATCTCCACATTTTAAAACATCCCACAGCCTCATCAGATCTTAAAGCTGGGAGGGCCATGCAGCCCTGACCCTCGGTCACTCTGGCCCCCAGCCGGAAGCCCACTCACCATTCCCACCGGCCGGCAGGAGCCCATGTGGTCATTGTGGCCATTCCAGCAGAGGAAGTCAGGGTAGTCACCGTGCTCCAGGATGAACTGCTGGCCCCGGAAGTCGGGGTGATCGTAGCAGACCCAGGCTCCGCTCTCCACGCGGATGGAGTTCACGCGGTTCATAAAGCCCCGGTCCTGGAAGTTGTCACAGTCCCCGTAGACCTCGAGCTTCCGTCCTGTGAAGTGCTTGCCTTCGTAGAAGGTGATCTGGAAAGGCCAGGTTAGAGGGCTCGGGGTCACGGGCTTCTCTCAGTCTTGGGGGCAGACAGCTGGGGTCTAACACCCTCGATTGAACCCTGATTCCCAAGCTTGCTCTGCACAGTAGGTGCTCAACACTGTTGGCTGGGTGAACGAATGCAAGCGTGGTGGGTTGAGGTGGGATCCAGGGCCTGGCCCTCCCTACTCTGGGAGCCTGAGGTTAAGCAGAGGGATTTCAGAAACTATCTGGGGACAGGGATTCCTCCTCTATCCCTGGCCCATTTGAAAACAGGATCCTTTCAAACTCCCATCGCATTAAAAATATTTTTGAGACAGAGTGCAAGCGTGAGAGCGGCAGAGAGAGAGGGAGACACAGAATCCAAAGCAGGCGCCAGGCTCTGGGCTGTCAGCACAGAGCCTGATGCGGGACTCGAACACACAAACTGTGAGATCGTGACCAGAGCCGAAGTCGGACGCTTAACTGACTGAGACCCCAGGCACCCCTTTCATCACATTTTTTAACCTCACTTTTTGTTCATTGTTAAAACCTAACATCCAAGTGTGTTCAGAAGAAAAGCACTTCGCCCACCGCCCCATCACCATAACCCCAACATTGAATTCTGGAAAGTCAGGTTCCTGGGACCGAGCCCCTTCCTGGGAGAGCCTGAACGCCGAGGAGAGCAGTCAGGGCCCGGTGCAGGGATTAATGGCTAACAAGGGGGCTTTTTCAATGTAACTCAGCCCTTTGTTTACTAGGCCATTCCTGTGGGTGACGGGCCTGTGTCAGACCTGGAACATTACCAACTCAGCGGTCACAGTTCAGACACCGTGCCCTACGGCAACGTAGCACGGACCATTCCCCTTGTCCCTAAGCTAAACAGCATGAACTCTGTCAACCCCAGGGTTCGTTTTCTGCGGTGCACCCTGAAATCCCAACCATTCAATAACTGTTTGGGCTTCAAGAATTGTGCACCCAGGGGGCGCCTGGGTGGCCCAGTCGGTTAAGCGTCTGACTGGCTCAGGTCATGATCTCACGGTTCGTGGGTTCAGGCCCCACGTCGGGCTCTGTGCGGAAGGCTCAGAGCCTGGAGCCTGCTTCAGATTCTGTGTCTCCTTCTCTCTCTGACCCTCCCCTGCTCACACTGTCTCTCTCTCAGAAATAAATAAAACATTAAAAAAAAAAAAAAAAAGAATCCTGTGCCCAGAAGGGCCCTGGCAAAGTACAAATTAATGTCCTGGGGCCTGCTAACTGGGGTAATCATTTATGCTGACACCCGCTACTACCCTTCTGGGTGCCCTGGGCAGAGCCAGGGCCTGACTTCCCAGGGGGGGAATGGGGGGGCACAGGGGCATGATGGGCTCTGGGGGAGGGGGGAGGGGGGCTGTTTGTTACTGAAGCACAACCTAGCCAGTGCAGACTGCGTAATTTTCTCAACCACTGACCTTGAACATAGCCCCAGGAGACCAGAGGCTGCATCAGATTAGCCAGGGGAGGGAGCAGAGAATGGTGAGGTGGGAGCGAGTCCAAATTTGATACCTTCCTGCACAAGACAGGACAGGCGGAAGGCCCAGAGATATTTAGGGAGATCTAGTCACCGGCAGGATTCTAAGGCCCCTCAAGCCAGTCCAGAGCCACTGATGGAGGGGGTGGGGACACACCTTCCCGCCTCCCACGCCAGAAAGGCCCTCAGCCAGGGCCAGGTCGCCCAGTTTGGGGAGGACATTTTGACAGTTTGGCTCAGGGCCGTCAGATGCAAAGGGCTAAGGCATAAAGGGTAACGCTTTGGCGCCTGCCTCGCCAAACGGCGCGAAGAGCGGCACGCAGTGGGTCTGGGGCCGGGCGGGACCACACTCACCTTCCCCGAGCACTGCGCCATGGTGTGCCCGCCCCTCCGGCGGCAGCCCCTTTATGAGCGGGCGGCGCCCTGCTGGGTCAGCGCCGCCCCGGACAAAAGATTTGCTGGTCCGGGAGTTCGCGTTGTCGGGCGCGCTAAGCCCGCGAGGGGCCGCCCCGCCGCGTCCCGCCGGTGGGAACGAACCCCAGGCGCCGCGACCCCGGGGTCGGCCCGGTACCTGCTGGGTCACCGCGGCCCAGGGAGCCCCAGCCAGCCCCCCAAGGGTCTACTATGTCTCTGACCCCAGCCCGCCGGCGGTCCCTGCTGAGTCAGGGGCGCACGCACGCACCTCGCCCCACTGCCTCCCCCTGCGGTGGGCTGGGGCGTCTCTAGCGCCCCTTCCTTGGGCACAAAGCCTCCCCGGGTCTCCCGGGTTCTTTCTCCGTAACAGGGACACAGGGATGCAAGGATGGGACCTAGCTTCTAGGGGTAAAGAGGGCAGCCCATGCCTGGCCCCCTGCCTGCTGCCCCCCACCCCCACCCCACAAAGGTACCGATCCGATGGCACCCAGTGCCTGGTGACTCCCTCACCCCCCATCTCTATGCCAGGTTGCCCTCCATTCCTCCTCCCCTCCTTCGAACTTGCTCTCTGGATGCTGTCCGCTACCCCAATCAGTGCTCATCCTTGGTCCCCACAGCGCGCTGTGCCCAGACCTCCCTGGACGACAAGGAACATGCAGTCCCCTTCCAGCACGAGGCTTTCTCCGCACACCCAAGTTCTTGGCACTCGGCAAAGGCTCCGAGATCATTTGTGATGTGAACAGAATCAATACCCAGCCCACGGCATGTGCAGCCCCCCAGACGTGTATACAGAAAACAATGACTCGGGTAGTTAGCTGGGGCCAGCTCTGAGATCAAAGAAGGGGGGAGCCCAGGGGGCTCACAGAGGCCGGGCGCTGGGCACCCGGGTGGATGGTGCGGAGGTGCTGTGGGAAGAGTCTGACTTGTTTCCCTGCTTTGAGGAAAGTATTTTCGACACCATTTCGCAGAGGAGACGCCTCCGACTCAGAAGAGGAGGTCACGCAATTCTTGTGGGCAGCAGGGTGACCTTGCCCCTGTTCTGGGAGGCTGTCCAAGGACAGGCGTCTCAGAGGACCTGGCCCAGCTGTGGCCCCCACAGGAATCCACACTGACCAAACCACACATTCCAGCATTTGCCTCCCGACACGGGCCCTGTTGGGGAAATATAGTTAAAGGCAAAATCTGCCAACCTGGAAAGCCTGTCCATAGAGGTAGAAGAGGAAGAAAGCCGCTGTTATTATTGAATAAGCGTTAAACTTGAACGTGAAGTGTTACCCATCTGGTGCAGAGATTGCAAAGACCCGGAAAGACATTCAGCCTTTTGAATAGTCATGCGGATGCGACTTATTACACAGGTGTTCTCAAGAGAAAGCCCAGATTTCCTTGTATCTTTGTGCTGGGAGGCAGGTCTTGCAATTCAAAGTATGGTGACAACCGGAGGTAAGGCCTCTCCTTCCAGAACCCCAGGAGGTGGGGCCGTATCTACCCTGATGATCAGGTTTCAGAGAGGGGGCGCCCAGCCCCTGGAGGAAACAAACATTCCTGAGTTTTCAGACTGGCGAGCTGCTTATTTAGCCGTTAAAAGATGTGCACGCATATGAGAAGAATCGAGAGAGAAATTCTAGAAGCCAAAGGAGGGATGGAAAGTTGCCTGGGTGGCTTAGTCGGTTAGGCGTCCGACTTTCGCTTGGGTCATGATCTCGCGGTTCGTGGGTTCGAGCCCCGCGTCGGGCTCTGTGCTGACTGCCAGCTCAGAGCCTGGAGCCTGTTTCAGTCTGTGACTCCCTCTCTCTCTGACCCTCCCCTGTTCACGCTGTCTCTCTCTCTCTCCTAGAAATAAATAAAACATTAAAAAAATAATAATAAAAATGAAAAAAAAGAAAGTCCCTTCCCTTATTTTCATTTGGGACAGTTAAAGCTCTTTTTTTAAAATATAAATTTTATTTTCAGGGAACCTGGGTGGCTAAGGCGGTTAAGCATCCAATTTTGGCTCAGCTTGTGATCTCATAGTTCGTGAGTTCCAGCCCTGTGTTGGGCTCTGTGCTGACAGCTCAGAGCTTGGAGCCTGCTTTGGATTCTGTGGCTCCCTCTCTCTCTGCCCCTCCCCCATTCGTGCTCTGTCTCTCTTGCTCTCAAAAATGAATAAACATAAAAATAGCCTTCCTTCTCCAGAAATACCTACTATCCTGATTTTTATATTTATTATTTCTTTGAATGTTTTCATATCTTTATTATGCGTATACCTGGAAATAATATACATTTTTTTACAGTGTGGTAACACCGTATAGGTATCCTTCTGAAATTTCAGATTTTACTGTTTGTGACCCCAGTTTCTGAAATAGTGGCTCAGCCTGTTAAGTGTCTGACTCTTGATTTCAGCTCAGGTCATGATCTCACGATTCCTGAGATCGAGCCCCGGGTAGGGCTCTGTGCTGACAGTGCAGAGCCTGCTTGAGATTCTCTCTCTTTATCTCTGCCACTATCCTGCTTGTACTCTCTCTCAAAATAAATATTTTAAAAACTGATGTTTTTGAAATAGTGAATGAATAACTCTTGGTAAGTTCCTCAGAAAACTAAGTAAAATCTTTCATCCCTTCATCTAGTATGTTGCATACTAGGAAAATTCAGTATATATTAAAAACAATCAGGGGCACCTGGGTGGCTCAGTCGGTTGAGCATCCAACTTCGGCTCAGGTCATGATCTTGCAGGTCGTGGGTCTGAGCGCCGCGTCGGGCTCTGTGCTGACAGCTAGCTCATAGCCTAGAGCCTGTTTCAGATTCTGTGTCTCCCTCTGTCTCTGACCCTCCCCTGCTCACGCTCTCTCTCTCAGAAATTAAAACAAAACAAAACAAAAAACAAGCAGGGGCGCCTGGGTGGGGTGGCTCAGTTGATTAAGTATCCTACTTTGGCTCAGGTCATGATCTCCTGATTCGTGAGTTCCAGCCGCGCATTGGGTTCTGTGCAGACAGCTCAGAGCCTGGAGCCTGCTTCAGATTCTGTGTCTCCCTCTCTGCCCCTCCAATGCTCATGGTTTGTCTCTCTCTCCATAATAAATAAACGTTAAAAATTTTTAAAAAAAGCAAAGAATACAA